CAATTTGCAAAAAGTTTTGGAATTTGGTGAATTAAAATTGTTTTTTTTGCAAATTGTATTAATATTTTTGTTTTATTTATTATTTTCTGTCCTTTTTCTTCTTTTATTTCCAGATTTGCTCGAGTGGCGACGAGTTTTCGACCTTTTCGATAAAGATGCAGACGGGAGGATCTCAAGAGCGGATTTACAGAAAAGAGCAGAATTTTCTCTCGACAAAATCCAAAAGATCGAAAGTAAACCCCAAACCCTAAACCCTAAACCCTAAACCCTAAACCCTAGGACTGCCCGCGCAGTCCCAGGCAGCAAGAACTGCGTCCGCGGCTAATTTTGAGCAAAAAAATCAAATATCTCAGCTAAACCCTAAACCCTAAACCCTAAACCTTCAAGAAGGCTGCAGGGGCGGGTGCATTATTGAAGACGAGAATCTAAAGAGGTTTCGTGCTTTGTGAGCGATTGGAGACTGAGATCTAGGGTTTAGGGTTTAGGGTTTAGGGTTTAGGGTTTGGGGTTTGGATCTACAGAGTATGACAAGGACAAGAACAACTGGCTTTTTGCAAAAAGTTTTGGAATTTGGTGAATTAAAATTGTTTTTTTTGCAAATTGTATTAATATTTTTGTTTTATTTATTATTTTCTGTCCTTTTTCTTCTTTTATTTCCAGATTTGCTCGAGTGGCGACGAGTTTTCGACCTTTTCGATAAAGATGCAGACGGGAGGATCTCAAGAGCGGATTTACAGAAAAGAGCAGAATTTTCTCTCGACAAAATCCAAAAGATCGAAAGTAAACCCCAAACCCTAAACCCTAAACCCTAAACCCTAAACCCTAGGACTGCCCGCGCAGTCCCAGGCAGCAAGAACTGCGTCCGCGGCTAATTTTGAGCAAAAAAATCAAATATCTCAGCTAAACCCTAAACCCTAAACCCTAAACCTTCAAGAAGGCTGCAGGGGCGGGTGCATTATTGAAGACGAGAATCTAAAGAGGTTTCGTGCTTTGTGAGCGATTGGAGACTGAGATCTAGGGTTTAGGGTTTAGGGTTTAGGGTTTAGGGTTTGGGGTTTGGATCTACAGAGTATGACAAGGACAAGAACAACTTGATAGACTTT